TTATGAGTCCATCTGATGATAATTGGGGTTAACTACTATGCTGTTGATGTTTTATAGAAAAAGTTCTTGCGAACTCCAAATATTTTGAAGAGAACCTCCTGTGATTTCTTCTAAAATATTTTATTGTTTAAATGTATGTCTTTGAATTATTTTAAAATGACGTTTTCACAAGGTGAAAGATATAAATCAAGTTTCATCTTCTACAAGTAGAAATCCAATTTTGTCAGCATCATTTGATGAATAGGCATTTTACATTCCAATTGTGTTTTTTGCTCTGCTTGTGAAAATTAAATGGGCATATCTTTGCATTTTATTTTCGGTTCCTCTATTCTTTCACATTAGTTCACCAATCTATGTATAATGCCAGTACCAGGCTGTTTTATGGTATAATTTGGGGCAATTCTCATACTGTTTTTTCTAAGCTCATGAAATAGAATATGAGAATTTTAGTAGTTATTGTATTAATTCTGTAAATTAATTTAGACACTGTAGTTATTTTTATGATTTTGTGTATGACATTCCATGATCATGTGGCATTTTTTCATACTCTAGGATCTTTTTCCAGTATCAAGAAATTTTAATTGTAGAATCTTTCTTTACATTTGTTAGATATTTTCCTAAATACTGAATTTTGAAGAAAGTTGGTTTTGATGGAATATTTTTTCTGAATTTATTCTCTGAGAATAGGCTGCTATTATAAACAAAAGCTGCTTTCTGTAACATTTATTTTGTGCGAGCAATTTTAATGTATTATTAAGCACAGAAATTTTCTAGTAGAATCAATAAGGACTTTTAAGTAAATATCCATGTTATTGCACTGGAATAATATTCAACTGTATATATGAACTGCATTTTTCTTATCCATTCATCTACTGAATCACATTTAGGCCATTTCCATTTATGGCTATTGTAAATAGGACAGTAATGAGCATCACTGAGCAAGTATCTGTGTAGTGGGATTTTCATTCTTTGGAGAATATATCTAAGAGTGGTATAGCTGAATCATAGGGCATATTTATTTTAGTTGTATATAGCTGGCAAAGATTATCACTCTGTGGTTTTCCTCATCACTCGATTGCTTCCTCAGCTGTATAGAAACGTTTTTAGTTTTAGAAGGTTTCAGTTGTCAGCAACTCCATTATCAGTCGGTTACCCCATACCATGTGCTCATCCCCAGAAACATATACATGTAAGCAACACTGAACAGACTAAACAGATTGTATTTATGCTTTGATCACTTATATATATTTGTAATTATGATGATTAAAAAACAACAAGCTGTGAGTCTGGGAGGTAAATTACATGAAAAGTTAGGAGGGAGGGGGAAGTGAGTTAATTATATTCTAAATAGATTTAAAAAAAACTCCCTGATGTAGGATTGAGGAGTAATTTGAAACAGGGCATAATTTAGCAGAATGATAATGGGCCTATGAGCTGTCAGCTCAAATGTTCTTTTTTATTCATTTTATAGATCTATACATTTTTTCCTGCTCTCCTGCCTATCTTTACCCTCTCCTTCAGTTCTCTCTCATGGTCCCTATGCTCCCAATTTGCTCAGGAGATCTTGTCTTTTTCTACTTTTCATATAGATTAGATCCATGTATGTCTCTCCGAGGGTCCTCATTGTTGTCTAGCTTCTCTGGGATTGTGAGTTGTACGTTGATTTTCTTTGCTTTATGTTTAAAAAACCACATATAAGTAAAGAGATATGATATTTGTCTTTCTGATTCTGAGTTACCTCACTCGATATGATGTTTTCTAGCTCCATCCATTTTTCTGAAAATTTCAAAATGTTGTTATTTTTTCTGCTGTGTAGTACTCCTTTGTGCAAATTTACCATACTTTCCTTATCCATTCTTCGGTCAAGGGGCATTTAGGTTGTTTCCAGGTTCTGGTTATGACAAATAATGCTGCTATGAACATAGTTGAGCACATGTCCTTGTGGTACAATTGAGCATCCTTTGAGTATATACCCAAAAGTGGTATTGCTGGGTCTTAAGGAAGGTTGTTTCCTGATTTTCTGGGAAATCGCCACACTGATATCCAAAATGGCTGAACCTGCTTATATTCCCACCAGCAATGCAGAAGTGTTCCTTTTACTCCACAAACTCTCCAGCTTAAGTTCTCATCAGTGTTTTTGATCTTGGCCATACTTACAAGTATAAGATTGAATCTCAGAGTTTTTTGGATTTGCATTTTTCTGATGGCTAAGGATATTGAGCATTTCCTTACATGGTATCTTTCAGCTATTTTAGATTGCTTTGTTGTGAGTTCTCTGTTTAGTTCTGTACTTTTTTTTTCTTGGATTATTTGTTCATTTGATGACCAATTTATTGAGTTCTTTGTGTATTTTGGAGATTAGACCTCTGTCTGATGTGGGTTAGTGATGATCTTTTCCCATTCTGGCGGCTGGTACCATTGCCAAATTTGGGTCTGATTTGTGGGAAGGCTCAGTCAGAAAGTGATTAGTTACTCCCATGATGGTTATGCCACTATTTGTTTATTGGATATTTATAGTTAGGGTAATGTCTACTGTAGGTATTAGGTTAGCATGAGGTTTATTTCTCTCCTTTGGTAGCATGCACATCATCTTTCTAAATTATGCAAACTACCAAGTAGAGATGAAGCTTCCAGGTGATCCCATATTTCATTTCTCAACTATGTTATGTCATCAGCAGGAGGGTCATGTTATTGAAGAAATATAAAGCAATTGCAATAGCTTGCATTGTTTGGGATCTCTAAGGGGGTAACCCATTCTTGGAACTTGGAACTTAACTGCTCTTTTGTTAGTCTGTGATGTCCGATGGGAACATTGTTACCCTGTTATATGGTAACTCCATTTAAGATCTTTTTAAAACATATGTATATGTAAATATTTTATAAAGCTTCTCCAGTAGTAGATTTCCATATGCCTTTTTAAAAATGACTTTATTGCTATATATGCCTCTTTCTATTCCCTTCCCTTTACTGACTTTCTTCTCCCAACACTAATTTAGCCATCCTTTTTTATTATTCTTCTTTAACCTTTTATACCACTGAGTTCCATCTTGTTTCCTTTGAAATTCTTTATTAAAGCTCTTTACTAATTTCCAGACCTATATAAATTTTCTACATAAATATTCAAATCTGAAGATTGGAAGCTGATGTTCACATATGAGAGAAGTATGTTTCTTAGTTGGTGTTTCTATTGCAGTTAATAGATATTAAGACCACAGCAACACTTATAAATGAAAAACATTTAATTGGGGTGGTTTACAATTTCAGAGCTTCAGTCCATTATCTTAGTAGAACATGGCAGCATACAGTTAAACATGGTGCTGGAGAAGAAACTGAGAGGTTTACATCTTGACCTTCAAGCAACAGGATGTGAACTGAGACACTGGACATAGCTTTACCATAGGAGACCTCAAAAGTCTTCCCCCTCAGTGAAACAATTTTTCTACCAAGGCCACACCTACTCCAACAAAGCCATGTCTCCTAATACAGCTACACTTATGCGTTTACTGGGGCCAATCATATTCAAACTATCACAACACACAATGTTTATCTAGCCGGTTCTGTGTTACCTCATTCAAAGAGATTGTTCTCAAAGTCCCACGAACTGCCCTTTCTATGCAATTAAGGATCTAAGAAATAAAGTGGGAAATCTACAATTCTAGGGGGTTAATATTTTCCCAGATATCACACAAGGATACCGTGCAGACTTAAATGTGTTCCTGAATGTGCGTCAAGTTTTCTATTCAGTTAAATGCAGATCATTTTTCCAATAAAATATGTGCCAATCTATAATCTATATTCTTTCTTTCTCTTGGAGGCAATTGCTTCATTTATAGCAGCTTATTTGGTGCATCTTTTGGAGGAGGTAGACTTTTTTTAGCTCCACCATCTTCAGATATTCTGTCATCTACTGCAGTGGGTTGAGAGTAGAGTTTATGTTCTTTCTGAGGCTTGCCATCCATAATAACAAAAACAGATCCAGAATATTAGAAGGAGTAACTCTTAGGGCCTCTGGAAAGATATTATGGTGTATGTGTATAGAAAGCACTGGGTTTTGTGCTGAGCCACCAGGGCTAATGATTTAGTGATTGTAAAAGTCAGAGGTATTTTCTTTTGTTTTTACTTAATCTACTTATTAGATTTTTTAAAAATATAGGTCGAAGGCCCTCCCTGCTACATTAGGCTGAGCAAAGTATAAATCCAAAGAGAGTAGGATACAAAAATGCCAGTATATGCAGTAGAAATACAAATCCCAGTGCTACTGCCAGTGTCCCCTCAGTCTGTCCAGCCATACAACTGTGAACTACATTCAGATGGACTAGTTTGGTCCTATGCTTGTTAGTTCCCAGTCCAGCTGGAGTTGGTGAGCTTCCATTATCTCAGGTAAACTGTTTCAGTTGGTGTCCTCATCATGGTCTTGACCTCTTTGTTCATATTCTCATTCCTTCCACTCTTCAACTGAACCTTGGGAGCTCAGTTCAGTGTTCTGATGTGGGTCTCTGCCTCTGTTTCCATCTGTTGTTGGACAAAGTTACTATGGCAATATTTAAGATAATCATCAGTCTAACTACAGGACAAGGCCAGTTCAGTAATCCTCTTCTTTATTGCTTAGCGTCTTAGCTGGGGTCATCATTGTGGATTCCTGGGAATTTCTCTAGCACCAGGTTTCTTGTTAGTCTCATAATGGCTCCCTCAATCAAGATATCTCTTTCCTTGCTCTCATCTCTGTCAGAGGTATTTTAAAGAGGGCAGAAACCTTAAGCACTGGCAGCTGCCCTGAATTGATGTCTCATCCAGCCACCAGAGGGCATTACCAGACACAGAGTTGATTTGTTTTCCAGGATCTCAGCTGATTTCTCCTTGCTCAGCAGCATTTTCTGTACACGAAAAAGTAAGTTTTCTCTAACTTTTTTTCTCAACTGAAGCCTAGGTTAATGTTGAAGGAGGAGTTTCATGGCCTCCAGGACAGGAGATATTTGCATAGGGATCATACCCTCTGAGGACAGTGACAGATAAGAAGTGACTGCCTCTCAATAGGTTGTGTCGATCCAGGAGAACTTTCAAGTGTCTCCACCATGACCTGGACTCCAGTTTTCCCTGCTTTCATTGCTCACTGCACAGGTGGCTGTTTGAATGGGAATCTGGGAGTGTGAACAAGAGAAATGATAGTATCTTCCCAGATACCTAGAAATTGGTCTTGCCTGGTTCTCACTAATACTCTGTTTCACTCTACTCTCCTAGGATCTTGGGCTGAGGTTGTGTTCACCCAGCCCCAATCTGTGTCCGGATACTTGGGGCAGAGGATCAGCATTTCCTGCACCCACAGCACTGGAAACATTGAAAGCAATTATGTATACTGGTACCAGCAGCATTCAGCAAGTGCACCCCATCTGCTCATCTACAAGTATGATCAAAGACCTTCTGTGGTTCCAGATAGGTTCTCTGCATCCAAGGACAGCTTCTCCAACTCTGGCACCTTAACTATTTCCGGGTTGCAAGCTGAGGATGAAGCTGACTACTACTGTCTGTCTGACTATGACAAGTATTTCACACAGAGCCTCAGACTCATGAGGAACTGAGACAAAAACTCTCTAGAGCATCACCACCCTGCCTTACATTCAACTTTGGAAAATCGAGCTTTTCTGTCTTATTTTGTAAATTTTTGTTATAGTCTCTTTATTTCCTAAAATACAATACAACTTATTGTCTGTCTGTCTATCTATCTATCTATCTATCTATCTATCTATCTATCTATCTATCTATCT